CTCACCCACACCAGATGGAAAACTCTACAGACTGTCGGTTCACACCCCATCACAAGCCAGCAAAACATCCACGAAACAAAGAAAGGTCTGTCACAGYCAAAAAATACACTCCAGACACGCCGTTGGCACTAGAGGCACAGCATGGATATATGAGTTGGTAAAACTCCGACGAAACAGTTTGTCACAGCCTCGATTGTTGTTCTCTTCTCTCTCTCTGCCTACGGTTTACCAGGCATCTCTATTTGTGACGATATATATAAGTGATAGTCTACTTTGATTTTGGTTAAGGTGAATTATCACTTACAGTGTAATCAGTGAGGGGATTCTACAGACTGCTGAGGGTTCAGCCTCCTGATGAGTCGGTTGAACTCCGACTAAACAGTTTGTCACAGCCCCTCGTTTGTTGTCCTCTTCTCCCTCTCTGCCTACGGTTTACCGGGCAGTTCTATTTGACGACATATATATATATATATATATACGATATATATATATATATATATATATATATATAGTCACAGCCCCTCGTTTGTTGTCCTCTTCTCCCTCTCTGCCTACGGTTTACCGGGCAGTTCTATTTGACGATATATATATATATATATATATATATGTAGTCACATGATATCGGAGCGTGTCACACTGTGTATCGGAGCGCAAAGGCAAAAAAAGACAAAACAAAAGAAAGGACAGAAGGAAAGCTCCGCCTATTCATCGCCTCTTAATATGTACAAGGCCGGCCACGTGGATGACAGAGCACCGGCTGCCCCCATCCCTGTGTGTCACAAGGACCCACTTGCACGAGCCAAAAGGCAAAGAAGTAAAGAAAATGAGGAAACCAAACCTCAGAGGCAAGATGATATTCTTCTTCTTCTTCTTCTTCCCCTTCTTCTACTTCCTCTTCATTCTTCTTCTTCTTCTTCTTCTTCTTCTTCTTCTTCCTGTTCTTATATATATTGTTGTCTCTCTTCTCCCTCTTTGCCTGCGGTTTACCGGGCAGCTCTGTTTGATGATATATAGGTTCTGTAGACTGTTGAGGGTTCAGCCTCTCTGACGAAACAGTTTGTCACAGCCCCTTGTTTGTTGTCCTCTTCTCCCTCTGCCTACGGTTACAGGGCAGCTCTGTTTGACTATATATATTTCTGGAGCAGGGTCACCAGCCCCCCGGGCAGACCTCCGTAGGTATGGGCGTTCGGGGTTGCGTACGGGGTCCGAACCCGACGGTGTTCGGGCCCCGCGAAAACTTGTTTCGAGGCCTGGATTTTTTTTTTTTTTCTGATTTTTTTTGTGAGTTCTCTATGACGTGAGGTACATGCCTATAAATTTTCAAGTCATTTGGCTCAGCCAAATGAGAATTAAAAATCGCCAAAGATGGCGGTGTCAAAACGTGCTGGCCCATATTTTTTTTAAATTTTTACTTTTGTTTTCACTTTAGTTCGGGGTCTAAAAAAGTTTATTATTTTTAAGCTTTTTTAGTGGGTTTTGCATTATGTACACATCGGTAAATTTTCAGGGCATTTAGCTATTCCCAAAAAAAATGAAAAATTGCCAATCGCCAAAGATGGTGGTGTCGAAAAAGTGCTCGCGCACTCACTAAATTTAATTTTTTTTTGGGGCAAGTACGTTTGTGGCACAAACGAAGTTCAAAAGGGCAAAAGAAACAATAATGGGCAAAGAAAAAATGGCTGAGTTCGAAAAGGCAGTCATAACATCAGAAGGCGGTAACATCAGAAGGCGGTAACATTAGCCCCCGAGTTTGAAAAGGGCGGTTGTAGCACACTTTCCTTTTTTTTTTTTTCGCGGCCGTGGCCAATCTGGGGTGTGGCCGAGACATCTCAGCCATGGCCCAACCATGGGCCTCTTTTTTTTTTTATTTATTTATTTATTTATTTTTTTTTTTATTTTTTTTTTATTTTA